TTGAGCAAAGTTAAAGTTACTGTTTGAAGCTATGTTTTTCTAGGGCAAGGTTTTTCATGTTAGACGGCTAGCACTGCTTTCGGAGTCCCAGAACTGAGGATGGGCTATTCCAGAGGCACCAACAGGAAGGGGCAAAAACTATTTCCTGCCTCCCTAAAGGCACGGTCGGAATAACCCATAGAGATGTCCTCCTGACCTCAGAGGAGAAGGACCCCTCACGGTGAGTACCAATGGTCGTTTTGCAGTAGCTGCCATCATAGAATAAGGATCTTCACCGTGTGATTGGATGTAAGCTACGGCAGTCATTTTATGATCGGCTCCACCTCCTGAAGCAGCTGTTTTATGGCAGTTGTTTTTGTGGCTGCACCCACCCTACTGTGTCAGAATTCTAAAGGTATCCGTAGGCTCAAAAAAGATGGAGACCCCTGATCTAAAACATCAACAAACTTAAAATTCCAAGTAAACATTGTCTTTGTATTGCTTCTAGCCATCTGTCAAGTGAGAACTTGGATTTAGATTTTTATTATGTAACTCTTACTAAAAGATTTAATGTGACAAAAGTAACTTTTATTAAATATGAAGCACAGTGTTCTCGCATCCTTAGAGTCGGATTTGACTGGCTTTCGAGCAAGGGAAACCTTTACCTTTACAGTGTTCTTATATGCACCAAGAATCATCTTCAGAATTTTCAGTGTGTGTGACATTTTTATGCATTTTAAATATTTTTGCCAAAGGATCGGTGGATAATTTCTGTTACCATTTCAACTTGTTATTGAGACTGTTGAATGCATTAATAAGTTATAAGTTATAAAGGCCTTTCTATAAACTGTAGTCATATTAATTGACCTGGTTTTGAACCACATAAATCAACTGATCTATATAAAGAGGTTATAGATGGTTCTGGCACAAACTTCTGCTCTCTGGTGGCATTTGATAGTTAATTATGCTTATCTGGCAAGCTCCCACAACAAGCAAGGACATTTTCATCCACAACAGATAGCAGACATTGAATTTGGTTGTGCAGTAGAATATGGAAAATCTCCAAGAAGAGCAGTTTCTACACGTCAAGCATTTCCATGTTACTTTTATCTCTATCACAAATGTGGTGACATGCACATTGGCCATGGAGCTTCTACATGGGAGTTTTTTGCATACTTTCTTCTGTCAGCCCGTAGCGGCCACCATTTTTCCCCACTGAACCACTGGGGCTTTTTAAAAAAATCAGCAACTTCTTTTGTTGTATAGCATTCTCCAATTTTTTAAAAAGCCCTCAAAAAGCTTTCCCATGGTGCAGCGAGGAAAATGCCAGCCAGGAGGAGCTGACAGCTGGAAAATTACACCAGCCTTCCTATCCGGATTGGCGGAAAGTAGATTTGGGGGAGCATATAGTGAGAGAGGAAATGGATGATTAGAGCATGATGTTGTGTGGATGCTCCAGGGGGCGGAAAGCTTTAGTTGGAAGTCAAAGTGGAGAAAAAGCTGCTGGGAAGAAAAAAGCACTGGAAAAATGAATCTGGGGTTACACCATTTCCTGTCCATAAATCTTGTTCAGGGAGGTGGTTCACAGCTGAACTGAAGAAAAAATATTTGGATAACTGAGCTTGATTAACCCTAAACATACTGCATTGGATTCACATTTTATATTCCGAATACATATCTTCATAAGCTACCCACCTAAATATACCCTCATAATGTCACAGACACAGTTAATAAGGAGAATGAAAGTTGCTCGTAGACTCATTGTAAGCACACAGAACAATCGTTGCTAACATGAATGCAAATCAGATTCACCTCAGTCTGAATTGGAACTAATAATTAATGTAAGAGCATCTGCAGACACTGAAACTGAAGGTGCCATCAGTGAGTTAAACAGTGTAATGTAAAGGAAGTGTGTGCTATTCAGCTGCCATATCTTAAAAGTAATTTAATAACAGTTTTCAGTCGAAGTATACATTTCTTTGAATATAAGCTACATTAAGTGACTTTTATTGAAATTTTTCCCTAAGCAAAAGTTTGATTTCAACTATGTTTAGCTGCTGAGAAATGCTTGAGGTATTTTTGCAGCATGTAAAACTAATGTGATTTCTTAGAATTTCTTAACTCAGTTTAGTAAATAAAGTTAGCTGAATACGCTAAGTTATATCCCAGTCAGAAAATGTTCTGATTCATAGTTTTCTAGAAAATTCACATCACTCATGCATTAAATGACTGCTGTTTCCAAGACTATTGATATAATCATGGTGGCCAAATTTAAGATTATACTTGGAATGCAATCTTAAGCAAGCTTTCTGTAGAGTAAATGTTATGGAACTTAATAGGACTAATTTCAGAGTACATTTGCATTTAATTGGGCTGTAAAACCTAGGATTAGTAGGTGATGAACTGATTTTTTTCTTTCCTAGAAAAAAATCTGTTTGAGTTCTTGGTGAATTGGGACAAATAACTAGAGTGCAGTTCCCATGGAAATGAGAGATGTTTGCACAAAGTAGCGCTGGTCAGTTTATACTACTGGTTGCTAGGTTCTGTTCATTCAAATAATTGAGCTGGTGTCTTGCAAACTCATTCTTGGGTATTTACAAAATCTGTATGCAGCCTTTCTGTCCTTAGTTACTAGGGCCACCAAGGTGGCTAGAAATATAAAGCATACATAATAAAACCACATTTTAAAACTACTAAAATCATCCTCTCTAAACACACATCATTTAAACAATTAAAATAGAGTCCAAATACATAGAAAACATAAAAACAGCAATTAAAAATTGGTTAGGAAGGAGGGATCACTGAAGGAATGTCAAATGAAATTGAAAAGGTCTTCACCCACAGCAAGAGAAGGGGACAAATTAATCTCTTTGAGGAGGGAGTTCCAGAACTGAAATATAATGTCTGAGAAGGCTCCCTCCCAGGTTGCCACCCATCTAATCTCAAAAGTCTGGGCACCCAAAGCAGGGCCTCTGAAGATTACCATAGTGGTCAGGCAAGCTCATAAGGGAGTAGGTGGGCCTTCAGGTATGCTGGTCCCAGGGTCAAGACTAGCACCTTGAATTGTGCCCAGAAACAAATTGGGAGCCAATGTAAATGGGCCAAGATTGGAGTGATATGGTCCCTGCAACCCACTCCATTGAACGTCTTGGCTGTAGCATTCTGTAACAATTGAAGTTTCCAAACACTTTTAAAGGGCAACATCCTGTAGAGTGTATTGTAGTAATCTAATCTAGATGTAACTAGGGCATGCACCCTAGTGGCCAGATGTTTTCTGTCCAGGAATGGCTGCAGCTGGTTAACCAGTCAAAGCTGGTAAAAGGCTATCCTGGCCACAGCTGCCATCTGCTTATCCAGCAGTAGGCCTAGGTCCAGGAATACCCCAAAACGATGGACTTGTTCCTTCAAAGGGAGTGCAACCCAAGGGGCGTGGTGCTGCGATCAGAGATGGCGGATGTGTGATTTTGCCACTTCCGACCCCTCCTGCCCATGCCCAGACCAAACGCACTTAAATTGCTGAAAAATCGCCAGGGAATGGGCAAGCTCAACCAGGCAAGCCCAAAACTTGTGGCATCCACAGCAAAATCGGTAAAGGAGCACCTAGAAGCCTTTTCTCACCACGCGGGGCCTGATCGACCCAAAAACAAAATGGTGGACACAAAAGACAAATCAGAGTGAACAGCATGCTTTCCAGGAGCTGCGGAAATCCTGAGCCACCTCAAGTCAATGGAGGTAAGACACTTTGATAAAATGTCCAATTTATCTACACAATTTGAGGACATTCAAAACTCGCTCCTTCAAACAGCCCAGAAAGCAGATGCAGCAATGGACTTAGGGCTGGTTAATCAAGCAGATATTAAACAGCTACAAGAAGCTACTGCCTCTCAAAGAGTCTCACTGATTTTCCTAGAGACGGAGGTAAAACCAGTTAATTTAAAATTTCAAGGCATAAGAGAGGAAGCTGAAGAAAATAACGATATGATCACGTTTATGACTTCCCTCATTGCACAAGCATTATCGCTGGAGGAAGGTGTGTTTCCAACCATTACACAAGCTTACCGGATGGGAACCTTGGCTAGAAACCGCCGTCTACTTCCAAGAGACATTCTAATAACCGTTCCAGGCGCAAGAGTTCGCCGCAGAATCCTAGATGCAGCAAAGACACCTGGAACTTTTAAACATGAGGGAAACCCATTACAAGTGTCCTCGGACATCCCGAGAGAAGCTATCCTTATACGCCGCACACTGAAACCAATTATAACAAAGCTGCAAAGCATAAAGCAGAAATATTGCTGGCTCCCTTCTGGAAAACTGTATGCAGCATTTCAAGGTCAGCACTTGTATGCCTGGGATGAAGACAGTGGTGCAGACTTACTGCATATCATACAAGGTGAAGCCCCTATGGAGCAAGATGGTAAGAAAGCTAATAAACGCAGAAACCTGTTTCCAGCATCACCACAGAAAGCCAGCAAGATTCCAATTCCTGCAACCCCATCCGGTCCATGAGAAGGACTTTTTTTTTCTGATTACGCTGTGAACTGTAGATCAGCTTCATCTTAGAGGTGTTCTTTTGTATGAAATAGTTACATGTTAAAATAATTCTATTGTTGTTAACACCACCTTTGCCTGGTAAATAAGCCCATAATGTTTTATCCCGGGGGGGAATGGGGGTAGTGACAATTTCTGACTTATCCCGTAACTAGGAACTCTCAAAAGTCAGAGATTACTCTGATTCTCCAGTGCAGTAACTGGTGGACTGAGGGTTCGCGGGTTGAGCGACAGGAACCATTATAGGTGGTTCCCAACGATTTTGGTTTTTATAACAAGGGTTCAATTTTTGTTGCAGTTGGGGGGGTGGGGGATAGTTAATTGATATAGGAAATAGTTAAGTAAGGTTTGGTAGTGTAAGTTAAGTGCAGTTTAAGAGCAGGTGGGCTCTGCTGTGTAGCCAGCTGGCTGTCACAGACTGGAAAACCAGCACTAACTCCCCCACACACACCATGTGACTGATTCCAGAGAGCAAAGAAGCAATGCATACTTAGCAAGGGTAGCATTCTGCCACCTCCCATTTTTAATAGACTTTGGGCAGGTCTTTCAAGCAGCTTGAGAGCAGTGAGATGAGGAAGTTTGTACATTCACAAAGTTTTTATACAATGATTTTTTTTAGTTTACGCACTGTAATAGTAAAAGGAAAATATGTGTTATTATATGCCTATGCCAGTTTTTATATATTGAGATGAGTGTACATGCTCTAAAGACATGCATTATAAAACACCAAGAATCCATAATAAAAATATGGACATACATTTGGTAGTGCTTTTGTAGAAGAGGGACACTCTGCTGATAATCTGTGATTCGTTATAATTAGCAAACAAGTCGCACATGCTTATAATCATTTTGATGTTCAAAAATGTTGCTCCATCAAGAGGCAGCTTAGATTTATAGACTGAAAACATATATGCCTTATGGACAATAGAAATTTGGATCTGTCATGTTATATATAGTAGCTACTTCTTTAGGACCACTTTCGAACATAAACACACTGCACTTATGATAGGTTGCATTTTGAGATATTGTTAAACTAGATTGTTTAGGGCATTATTTAAAATGTGTTGAATATTTGAGGCAGTGCTATATGCACTAGATTTATTTGCTTTATAATAACATTGATAATGGTTATAATTGTGATCTATACTTTTAAGGATGTGGTCGTTTCACATGCAGCTGCATGGAATTAAGATGGGTATGTTGCCAGCATGTTTAGATAGCGTTTTGCTGGTGAGTATTAGAGCAGAAGGCTTTGTACCTGATTAAGGAAACGTTAATGGACTGGCGTGCTTCTTATCTAAAAGCTGAGTTGTAAATAAGTGGTAAGTTTAAATAATAAGGCATATGTTCCATTACTATTCTTATAAGATCCCATTTAGCTGCATGGTGTCCTTGGTGTTATAATGAATATGGTTAATTTTAGGGAGATAATTTCTGAGGAAGATCTACAATGAATAAATTCTGAGGAAGATCAACTACAAAATGGGCTTATATCTAGATGCTCGTCAGTTTACTACAACTTATTACAGAAGCTGTTCTATAATATCACAAGGACAGGACTACAACTTATTACAGAAGCTGTTCTATAATATCACAAAGATAGGACTTTTCTTAAGGACAGGGCTTTTGTGATACTGGAGCACATTAACAGTTGTAATATTTTTCTGTTATCTATATAATATGTAAGGATCATTTGTATTTTCATTAACTATAAAATATAGTAGCCCTAAATCACAGTGATTACTTGAAGGAATAAGCCATAAACAGTGACTTGCTGGTGTATCCAAACCCAACATCCTAGGTTCCCTTATCCCACCTCCAATCTGTGCTTATGCTCAGGTATCAGTTCCACAGCAAAGTTGGTTTTCAAGTAGCCATTTTGGAGGGAAGGAATCTGTCATCTTGCAAGGCTGTTGCAGGATGTTCTTCTGGTTATTAATATGGAAATGGCTGGTAGTTTTCTTTTCTGCAACTCCCCAGGTTGCAAAATTAACAGCAATAAGCTGAGCCCAGATGGGACTACCAAGCCGCATGGTACTCGAGATGGACTTCTTAAAAGGATAATAAACAAATTAATGCCTTTATCCCACTCTTACCATTTTATTTATCTGTTGCAAGAGAAACTCTTAAGGCCAAGAAGTTTGTGTCTGGAAAACAGAATGTCATCAGCAGGGGTCATTTCGTAGAAAAAGAGGTGCAGGAGCTCATTAGCATAACTCATTAGCATAACTTATTTGCATATGCCACACCCCCTGACATCACCGGAAGTGTGTCAGAAGGCAACACCCACCGCTCAGGCTCCACTGGACTGTTTTGGATTGCTAGCTATTGGGGGGGGGGGATGTGCAGAGCTTGTACCTGAATAAAACTTGGTCTTAAAGGTGCCACTGGACTGTTTTGGACCGGGGGGCTGGTGGGAGCTCTGCAACTTACCTGGCTGCTTCTTGCTCTGACTGAGGGCTGCTGGGAGCAGGGGGTGGGGCTTGTTGCATATGCCTACCCCCTGGGCTCTTTACTGCCGGAGCTCCGCTCCTGTAGGAAATGACCCCTGGTCATTAGTATCAGGAAAAATGGAGGGTTAGTTTGAAACAAAAATGATAACTGTAAGTATCAAAAGGAGGGGCATGAAAAGGTAAGAAATATTAACTTTGGTAATGCTTCTTTTTCAGAATTGATAGATATCACGTGTACACTGCTGCTGCTAAATCCGGACTTCACTACTGCATGGAATGTCAGGTATGCTTGGTTCAGCAATGGAACGATACAGATATTTCCAGGAACTGCCTGAAGTCTGAAGGAGCCATACACTTTAAGTGGTAGTTGGCTACATATCTGCTAGCTTTTTAAAGACGTTTATTGGGGAAAGCTTTTAATATGATTTCTCACTTTTTCATACCACTATCAGCTGTCATGCTTCATGCTACTATTTTCAGAGGATAAGCTAAGCCTCAGTTTTCTGTGTGCCAAAATCACTGAAGGGCCCTTGGCATTGGCTGTCTTCACCTAGTGGTTTACAATTTCTTTATTACCAATGCTTAGCCCATGTGGCTCGTGAATATGCAGAACACAGAATCAGTTATTTTGTGTGCGTAAAACTGTACAGGCTTAATTTTGACAAATAGTTAATGATGCTTTCCAGTTACTGTTAAGTAATTTGTGTGTGTGTGTGAGAGAGAGAATATCAGAATCAGAATTATTTTCCTAAAATGTGGTCAATGAAGGTAGTACTTCATGAATGATAATCTAAATATTGGCATTAGTCAAAGCTTTCACAAGATGTTCTGATCTTTAGCAGTTACTTCATTTGCTATAGCTTTGATTACAGGCATTTTTGGCAGAAGAGAAATATAGAGCAAATGCAGCTATAGTAACAACACGCTTCCTCTGGTGGTTGGGGTTGGGGGTGGTACACAGGACTGTTGATAACATAAATGTTTTGCAAGAATTTGACTACATGTCAGATGAATGAAGGTAATGTCTGTTTGGGAAAAAAATCTGAAAGAGCAAGTATAGCTGGGAAACTGTACCTGGATGAAGCCTAAGGTATAAACAAACCCAAAATGTCAAGACTGTACATCTTTTTCGCTCACTTGGCAGTAAAGGTGGCTGCCTTAACTTAAAGTAGTCATGTTTTTAGAATTCAAATACATTTGGAAATGCCTTATTCTACATACCCCCCTAATATTCCCATTTACAATAATTTTTGTAGCATTATTTGTTATGTATCATTCTCAGAATGTAGCATTGTAGTTCTGTCCAGAAACCTGGGGAAAACTGACATTGATATCCAGTTCTCTAACCCACGATTCCCTTCAGCTGTCATTATGCATCCTTAGATCATGCCATAGAATACCTTTATTATCCAGCGCTCTTTTTGGCAACCCTTGTATCGCTTGTCATGCCAATGAAGTGTTCTGGAGCTGAGCTGATGTGATTTTCTTTGTACAGCCTTAGCAGCTCTGATGTTTAATGTCACATGAGGCTGTAGCAGAAGGACTGACCTGAGTTTGTTTTGCAAAGGAATGTTTGTATGATACATGGTAAAGGTTGCTAAAGAGGAGGTGATAGCTAAGTGCTGGTTAGGGAACTGCTCCTAGGAATGGCTTCTGTAAAGACTGTATAATGTCAATAGTGTATACATGTGAAAGGTTGGGTTTGAGCTTGGATTCATGTAAAAGTGCTACAGAGCTTGACAATAATATAATAATATTGGCTTGAACCTAGAATTTCTGTGGGCACAAGAGAGTATCCTGATTCCCCCCCCCCCCCATGGCAGCATAAAGCAGCCCTTGAAGTGTTGTTCTTGGGAGATGGTGATCCCTAAGAATGGCTTGAAGGGCACTGGGGTTCTTCTGCGGGAGAGGGGAATAGGTGAAAATGCCTCCATCCCTGTACCTGTGGAAATTTTAGATGGGATCCAACCCGTTATGTTGTAATATATACCATTGCAGCATTTACTAAGATGCCTATAGTTAAGCATTCTCCATAAATAAATGCCTACATGTGGCAACACTTTCAAGCCTTCTGGATTAAAATCTGAAGCTGTTTGCTTATGGATTTCAGGGCTTTGAATCTCTGTTTTCTACTCCCAGAGCTCAAATTCAACATGAGGGCAGTCTAGCCCAGCTTTCCCTTTCCCCAGGTGACTTTTAGTTGAGCAGGCTAGTAGGAAGTCAAAGTTCGTATAAATATTAGAAATCTAAGAGCCACTGCATGTTCATAATAATCTAAATTAGGTTCTCACTTTTGAAGTTTAAGGTCATGATAAATTTACTTGTGTCACTACCCTTTAATCTTTTAGAAATTGAACTAGAGAGTAAAGTAATCTGCAGTCTGTTGTATGGGATAAGTGCATTAACAGCCTGCAGCAGAGAAACTAAATTGTTCTTATCCTTTTTTCTTGCCCCTTGTTTAAAGCCTTTCATTTTTATTGGATCTTACTTCCATCCTCTACAAAATGGTACTAACACAGATAGCTGCACTGAACCATGGAATATATAAAAAGAAAATGAAAATCCCTTTTTGCTAAAGTTTAGCTTTTGTATCTCTTGAATGACTCTATATTTAAATATTTCCTAAGCAGTGATTAATGCCCTATGTATTGGGTATTAAGAACAAAATATGTAGGAGGCAGATTCAAATGCTGAGTGAAGAGGAGAGGTTTAAAGGGCTGCTTAGAATAGTACAGTTTCCCTACCTGGAAAGCACTTTCTTTTGGGAAAACAAGTACAACTCATGTATAACAATTGCACATAGATCTTTTCTGCTCCAGGGAGAGGTTCGTTCCTGGCATTTCCAGTTCAAAGATCAGGTAGTGGGTGATGTGAAAGACACTGCCTTGAGACCCTGGAAAGCCACTACCAGTCACTGGGTAGACATTAAAGCACAAGAAGAGATCTGCTGGATCAGACCAGTGGTCCATCTATTCCACCATCCTGTCTCACACAGTCACTGACCAGTTCCTCTGGATGGCCAACAATAGGGCACGGAGTCTGAGGCCTTCCCCTAGTGTCACATCCTGGCTCTGGGTTTCAGAGGCTTAGTGCCTTTGAATGTGGATGTTCCCCTCAGTCACCATGGGTAGTAGTTATTGATAGACTTATCCTCCATGAATCTATCTAATCGCCATTTAAAACTGTTTATTCCTGTGGCCATCACTACATCCTCTGGGAGTGAATTCCACATTTTAATCACTCTCTGTGTAAAGTAGTATTTCCTTTTGTCCATCCTGAACTTACTGCCCCTCAGTTTCACTGGATGCATTTAAGTTCTTGTTATTTTGGAAGAGGGAGAAAAATTTCTTTTTGTCAACTCTCTTTACCCCATGCATAATTTTATAAACCTCTTTCATATTCTCCCTTAGTCGTCTCTTTTCTAAACTGAAAAGTCCTAGACTCTTCAGCCTTTCATCCTATGGAAGGTACTCCAACCCCTTAATCATCTTGGTTGCCCCCCCTCTGTATTTTCTCCAGCTCCGCAGTGTCCTTTTGGAGATACAGTGACTAGAACTGTACACAGTATTCCAAATGAGACCATACCAGAGACCTATACAGGGGCATTACAATATTGGCCATTTTATTTTCAATCCTTTTCCTAATAATCCCTAACATCGAGTTTGCCATTTTTAGCACTGCAGCATGCTGGGTTGACACTTTCATTGAGCTATCCACTATGACCCCAAGATCTTTTTCCCTCTCAGTCTCAGCAAGTTCAGACCCCAATAACCTATATTTGAAGCTGGGATTTTTTGTCCCAATGTGCATCACCTTATACCTACCAACATTGGACTTCATTTGCTACATTGTCATCCACTCACCCAGTTTATGGAGGTCCTTATGGAGCTCTTCACAGTCAACCTTGGTTTTCATCATCTCAAATAATTTTGTGTCATCTGCAAACTTGGCCACTACACTACTCACCCCTAGTTCCAGATAACTGATGCATAAATTAAATAGTATCGGCCCCAACACTGATCCTTGTGGGTCCCCACTGCTTACTTCCCTCCATGTCTGCTAAGTTTACTCAGGAGTCTTTGGTGAGGTACCTTGTTAAAAACCTTTTGAAAGTCCAGGTATATAATGTCTAGTGAGTCACTATTGCCTACATGCTTATTCACTTTCTCAAAGAACTCCCAAAAGGTTGGTGAGGCAGGACTTTCCTTGGCAGAAGCCATGCTGATTTTCCCTCAGCATGCTTTATCCCTGTATGTGCCTAACAATGCTATCTTTGATTACAGTTTCTACTAATTTGCCTGGGACAGACATTAGGCTGACTGGCCTGTAATTTCCTGGTTCCCCTCTGGATCCCTTTTTAAAAATTGGTGTCACATTTGCTACTCTCTAGTCTTCTGTTACAGCAGCTGAATTTAGTGATAGGTTACATATATGGGTTAGTAGAGGTTACATATATGGGTTAGTAGATCAATTATCTCACATCTGTTCCTTAAGCATGCTTCTCTGCTTCTCTGGCTGGTTTCCTGCTCTGGATATATTTTTTAAAATGTTTGTTGCTTATCTTGATGCTTTTAGTAATTTGCTTCTCAAAATCTCTTTTTCCATGCCTAATTATTGACTTACATTTCTTTTGCCAGAAACTGTTCAATTCATTGGGGCAGACCTTTCACTTTTTAAAATAAGCCTCTTTACTTTTTATAGCTTCCTTAACTTGTGTTGTAAACCACATGGGCCTTCTTTTATACTTAGCAGTGCCTTTCCTCACCTGTGGAATACATTCTATTTGGGGTTCAATTAGAGTGGTTTTAAATAGTTTCCAATCATCCTCTGGGGATTTGACTCTCTTGTATTTCCCCTTCAGTTTCCTGTTTACTATTCCCCTCATTTTTGTAAAGTTCCCTCTTTTGAAATCAAATGTTACCATTTTGGACTTTAGGGGTAACTTTCCATTGATCTGAATGCTGAACTTAATATCAATGTGATCACTGTTCCCAATTGATGTAACAACCTCTACATCTCTCACCAGGTCTTGACACCCACTCAGAACCAAGTTCAAGATCACTGCCCCCTCTGGTCAGCTCTGTGACCAGCTGTTCCAGCACACAGTCATTTATGATGTCTAGGAATCTCATTTCTACAGCGTGACTCGAAATCACATTTACCCAGTCAATGTGAGGGTAGTTAAAGTCTCCCAGTATAATAACATTATCCGCTTTAGTCACCTCCCTAATTTCCTTCTCCATCTCAAGATCAGCCTCACTTTAAAGTAACCTTTAGGGTCCAGTATTTCCGCCCATATTGCTTCTGTTGGGAAGTTAATTCCCCTGATGTTTTCTAACTTATTTGATTCTATGCCCTCTTTGATGTACAACGCAACACCAACAACAACCTGTACCTCCCTGTCCTGCCTATACAGCTTGTACCCGGAAATGATTGTATCCCATAGATCTTCTCCATTCCACCAAGTTTCTGAGATACCTACTATATCTAAATTGTCATTGAACACCAAGCACTCCAGCTCCCCTATCTTGGCTCAGAGACTTGTAGCACTGACATATAGACACCTAAACTGTATTTCCTCACCTGTATTTCCTTTTCTGTTACAACTCCCCTTTAATTCCTGACATTACTGACAATAGTAGAGCCAACCAGTGGTTCATTTCTGTTCCACCGCCCGGAAACACCTACCACAGCCCATTTTACATCTGTGCCCCTCTCATTTGGAATCTTTCTGGGTTACAGGTTTGCACAATGCAAGGTGGGAATTTGATCCAGAATGTTTGCTCAAGTGTGCATGACATTTAATGAAGTACAACAAATGATGACTGGTTGTGTGGGAAGAGGAACCCCTGTGGGCACAAAGTATTCTGCATGCCAATAGTACTCTTAGTGCTGCTTTGCATTTACTTCTTCATTGAGGGCGATGTTTCGACTGTTCCAAACCATTTCAGAGTGATATTGTACTTTGTGTGACACAGGACAATGACAGAATGCTTTATCAATGTTTAAGATAATTACTGTGCTGGTCAATTTAAATTAATGTTTGCCCTAATTAATTTATTTGTTTAGGAAGGAACTAATACTATCTGGCACTTTAAATCCAGTTAAAGATTTACATCTTGGGAAACTGGCGCTAACTAAGTTTCCAAAGAGTCCAGAAACATGGATTCACAGGTTTGTCTGTCTCTTCTTTGTTTTCTTAGAAAACATATTGAAATACAGATTTTGTTTGTTTCTTGATGAACCATGAGTGATAAATACCATCTGAGAAATTATCACATTGTCTGTTGGAAAGTTGCTTTCTTTGAAATTTATTTAAAGATTTATATACCATTTTTTGTAAATTTGAGATTATTTAACAAAAAAAATAGTGACAATAAGCAAGTAAATTCTTTACAATTTGGTACAGTTACAAACAATCATAACTCCAAGGCAGTAATATCTCAGCAGTATATGTACAAACAGTTCAGTTAAAAGCTAATCTGTGGAATTTTGCAAGAGCATTGGCTCTTCCAATTAACTGTAGAAGAGAATTTCAGCAGCTCAGAGCCCCTTCATTAAAAAAGCTCTTTGAGCACCCTTGGACTTGACTTGATAGAGAGAGAACTGTCAGAAGCCCTTATTGGTAAGTGGGCCCAATAATTTCTACAGTGTAAAGAGTTTTTATTTTGAAATGCTTTGTTTGTACATTATATATTTTTACATTGACTGAGGCCTGGTCTTGCATATGCAGCAAAATGAGGAGTGAAATCCTAGAAGTTCTGTTATCAGCCTACAAGTGCGGGAAGGGGTTCACAGTTGTGAACATTCTCTATAGTAACTGCTCTGTGCAAGTACAATATTAATGCACGAGCAAGCATGCTGGGCTAGAATCTTTGTCTCTGGTATTCTAGATGTTGTTGTGTTGTTGTTTTCTTAATATGCAGACCATTTAATATTGGAAGAATGCAGAGACAATTCCTACCTGTCATCTGAAGGGGGTACTGTCTACAGCCTCAGGATTGTGCCATTTCATTTTGTTTCATGTGCAGTTCAGGCCTGACATTACCTGGATAGAAATCTTGAGATCATAATAGAAATGTTAACTCAGTGTAAGAATGTTACGAATTATTAGGATGGTAGCTGAAACCAAAGTAGAAAATATTATACTGCTATTATATAAACCTATTGCATGGCCTCCTTTAGAATACTATGTATGTTTCTGATGACCCCATTTCAAAAAAGGATATCTAAATGTTTGAAAGACACAGAAAAAACAACTATAGGGGAAAACTAAGATGTTTGATCCAGTTTAGTTTTAAAAAAAGATGTTGAGAGGTTTACAGTTTAGTTTGAAGGTTGTTTTTGAACTGTACTTTGCACTGAAGAGGAAGTAACTCTGAGTACATAAAGGGAAAGGGGGGAGAGCACAAACAAAAGGCTTGTTTGAGGAGCATCAAACGGTCGGTTTGGCATTACATCTGAACCAAGCCAAAATTATGAATGGTTTGGAAAGAGTGAGTGGATAGACAACTGCATTGCAGAACAGTGAAATGAAGGTCATTCTGTGAAGCTGATTGTCAGTGAGGAGTTCAAGTTACACTAAAGGATGTATAAGCTTTCAAGAGTCAAAGCTCCATTAGATCCTTAGACAATTTTGAGAGCTTCGACTCTCGAAAATTTGTAACCCAAAAATTTTGTTGGTGTCTGAGGTACTACTCAACTCAAATATAGCTGTTGTACTGCAGACAAACTCCGCTATGCTCTAAAACAAAAGGAAGTACAACTTAAGTGCCTTTTTTAGAAGGATTCACTGTTAGCCCATCATGGCTACTGGATGAAATGTTGACAAAAGCATTTGGGTTCCGCTAGGGAGATGTGAGAGTGTTGATTGTATTTCTTCTTTTCTCCATTCCACCTTTGAATGTATTCTTAATTAAGGACCAAGCTAATGGAAAATAATAATAAAATGTTTTCACTCTCTTAAATTGGCTTTTGCAATCTTAACTCTCTACACCATTTAACCAGACGATGGGTGCTGCAACAACTAATTCAGGAAAACTCTTTGCCCACACTGGTGACTAAAGGGAATTTGGAAATGGCACCAACAGAAAGGATACAACGATTAGTAAAGGAAGAAATGGATGTCTGTTGTGAAGCTGCTGGGAGATATCCAAGCAATTATAATGCCTGGTCCCATCGCATCTGGGTTTTACAACACTTGGCAAAGCTCAGTACAAAGGTACGGTACCATAGTGAACAAAATATCTGGATTCTAGCCTTGTAAGAAGTATATGAGCTGGAATAATAATTTATCTTTGGAACTGAATTTCATCACTAGTAAGCCTAGTGAGATTTGTTTCGGGAGGTGAGAAAGTTAAAAATGATATTAACTGGATTGAGCTGATTTGTATAAAGAAGCGAATAAACCAACAGCTGTGTAGAGTACTAAACAATATCACTGGTAGATAGTTATAATTCAAAATTATAAGTGAGGACGGAAAGGAGTGTGGAACCTGGGGTAGAGCAGTGGAGACCAGAGATAAATTATCTACTGGTACAAACCATACAGTCTCCCAATAGAATAAAATTAACACATATTTTAATACTGTAATTTTAGGGCTGTATTCTCTAATGACTGTCCATTGTTAAAATGCAAATAATGCACTGGTTTAGGTTGAGAGAGAGATCAGACAATTTAGAGGCACCGTGATGATGTTTACAAGTGCCTTTCAAATATCTAAGGAAATCCTTCAGCTCAGTTTATTCAGATTTAATGAATTAACGTGACATCAAGCAGCCAGAATACAGCTAACTGGCTCTCGAAATGCCTTATCAACGTGAACAGAAATGTCTGTATGAAAAGCACTTGGTTCCACCCCTTCAGGGTGGATCTCAGGGGGTGCTGTCTAAAATAGATTGTGCAAGCAAGTTGGAAGCTGTTGGTACCTGTCTCGTCTAAAATGGAAAAAAAGACAATATCCTAATGGTTTTCCAGTTGCAATTTCTCATCAGTGAACCAGGCTTGGTGCCACTTTATTGTGCAGGCAGATTGACCTTCATTCTTTGCTTGACTCTTCATTCTTTCATCTCCTTTGCTGTTTGCTGCCCCACCAGACATTTTCAGGGGAAGGGTGCTGACTTTGCAAAAGCTATAAACTTCTTTCACTTCCTTGTAAGGAAGTCACTGTATACACCCCAGCTTGTCACCTAAGAACCTTCCAGAATGATAAGGACATTTAATAATAACCTGAAAAGTATGTCACACGCCCCAGGAGAAAATCAGGCAGTACAGCAGTCTCTTAATTCCCAAAAAGAGAATGTAGGGGAAAAAATTAAAAGAACAATGACAGCTAGGGCACTTTCAGTTTGCTTTAAAAATAAAAACCACTTCCATTAAAATTAAAAGAGACATTCCTATGTTTAATCCAGGAAAACTAAGGGCTGAATCCAGACTAGATTGGCAATTTCTACCAGTTCCCCATTCATGCTACAGAGCTCCTCCCCATCTAGGGTTGCCAAGTATAGCTTACCTCCGCAGCGGGGGACTCCCGGGTGGATCCCGGAGCGCGCGCCGCACGCACGTCACCAGGAAGTGACGTTATGATGCCAAGCACGCTGGGGGAGGGGCCACGACCATTCGAGGGGAAACCATAGAGTTTCCCCTCGGATGGTCGTGGCCCCGCCCCCAGCGTGCCCGTCGTCATAACGTCACTTCCTGGTGACGCGCACGCCGGGGTGGGGTTCCCCCTGGGGCCCGATTCCGCGGCGGCGGAAATCGGGCCTCCAAAGCGGGGGGTTACCCACCACCCACCCTCACTTGGCAGCCCTATCCCTATCATTCCTCAGGGTCCCCTGTCCCCCCAGGAGCAGCATTTTGTGGAAATCAGAGGGCTGAAGGAGGATCATGAAATTTTGATCTGCTGATTGAAAACTTAGTCTGAATCCATCCCAATGAATGCTGCAACGTAACATAGTTTATTTTCTCTCAACTACACTTGAAGAGGCTTGTACATAAGTTACTAGTTTTGGAAGGCACACAACAACTCTGGAGGCCCAGACATAGTTATAAAAATAGAACATTTGTTGCTTTCAGTACCCTGTTTCCAATTAATTCAAAATGGTGTTGAGTTCTGTTACTTATATTTGGGATAGTGTTGTGTGAGTGCATGTTAAGGGGAAAAGCCTGTCTTCGAAAGAAGGAGGTATGTATAGGAATAGTTTACTGATTCCATGCTGGTATCTAGTTCTTACTTTCCTCCTGTCTTTCCAACGGCTAGAAGCTCAGCCCTAAAGGAAGGCAATAGGAGGAGGAGGAGGAGGAGGAGATTGGATTTATACCCCGCCCTTCACTACCCAGAGGAGTCTCAGAGCGGCTTACAAACTCCTTTCCCTTCCCCTCCCCACAACAGACACCCTGTGAGGTGGGTGGGGCTGAGAGAACTCTTGACACAAACTGCTCTTTTTCAAGGACAGCTGTGCCAGAGCTTGTGACTGACCCAAGGTCACATCAGCAGGTGCAAGTGGAGGAGTGGGGAATCAAACCCGGTTCTCCCAGATTAGAGTCCGCACACTTACCCACTACACCAAACTGGCAATCGTAGACCAGGATATGTTTCCTTGCCATTCCAGATGCTTTCTGGAGCCTCTTCCTCTGCACTATCTGTGATTGCAGTCCTCTGCTGCCTGTTTGTCCATAGCTATTTATATCAGGTAGTTTTTGACCAGAAACACTCTTTGAATCTCTGCACTCCTGCCTGCAACTGTGTCTCTTTCCCCGTTGCTCTGCAGGCAAGGCATTGAATCCTACAGTAAATCTTTTAAAAAAATAAAAAAGAATAAAGATTCAAATACTGATAAGTTGTATGGGCTTCAATCCCTTGATTTACAGGAGATCTCTCCAGTGTTGTAATTCAAATCTTTTAGCTGTAGTAAGGGCATGAAGGGTCCATTTTCATTGACCATTAGTTATCCTTCAGTACACAAGCATATAGTTTAAAAGTACATAAGCATCCTCAAAAATCAATGAACAATCTAAATCAGAACTGATATGAGTAATAGCTTCTTCCCAGAAAAACCAAATGACTGGACATGCCCAAAGCATATGTTTAAGAGATGTGTCCTGTGAGTTACAATGCCAACAATTAGGCCCTTTTCTCAGTCTTTACTAAACAGTTGCTATAGTGTCCAGTGTATCCTAAACATAATTTTTTGCTGAATTAGTCACAATTTAAGATCCATAAAGCAAGTATAAACTTTAAGGCCATATCCCATTGCTTTGGCAAAATAGGGCGATCTGGTTCCTTGTTCTATTCATTCCTGAGGCTCTGCATATCGTATTTATTAATCAACATCAGATATTTATACGCAAATATTGTAGGTTTTGTTTTATGCATCAATTCAGTTTGCTCCTAGAAACTCTTAATTGAATCAATGCAGAAACTAGCAATAAGTGTCTCAGAATCTCTTTTGCTCCTGGAAATTCTAAGGGGTGTCTAAGACACTTAATGCTGCAAGGCCATATTTTGATACCAACAGATGCTGCAATTGTAAATATTGCCATTCAACAGAAGTTGACTAATCATATATAGGTCCCAGCTGGGAAAATGATAAAACTTATCATCATAGTCTATCAATTGGTCCAGTGTAAAAATCCCCATATTGGTCCAAGCCTTTTGTAAAAAAATACTTCTTCCCAATTTTAGGTCTAGATTGGCCCATTATGTTAATGTAGCATGTGAAAATGGATCAAATTGATATTATTATAACATTAGGTGCCATAGTTCTCTAGCTACAAAAATCCACTCTAGCATAAGTAGACCCTAATGCATTCCACTTAGAGGGGCACCAGACAAGAAACCTCCAAAAGACACCACAGTGAATAGTCCAGCTGCAAGGAACAATTGTGCTAATTAGTACAAGTTAACAAATATGCTTGATGATATAAACTAAAACTAGAGAAACCAAATCCTCCTTCGTTAAATGGGAGTTGCATCCTTTTTAAAGAAATCAGAGGCAGTAAGAAGCCCTACATAAATTTCAAAACAAAGTATTAATTTTATGAATATACAAGTGGGGACCCATAAGAAACTTGCAGAGACAGTGAATCCCTTCCGTTTACTTCCTTCCCTCTTCCCCTTTCTCTCTCAGTCTTCCACTTCTTTCTACCCTTTCCCTTATCTGTCTACCTATCCCCATCTCTTTTGCCCCCATCACTTCTCTGTCAGTCTACCCCACTTCTGTGGTAACCTACCCCCCATTCACCCCTTCTCCCATACCCTTTATCTGTCAACCTGCCCTCTATTTCACGCCTCTCTCCCATTCCCCTTATCTGTCAATCTACCCCTCATCTCTTTTGCCCCCCACATTTTCTCCAACAGTCTACCCAACCCTTGCTGCTCTCCCCACCTACCACCCACCGCTGGTACTTCACTCACCCTCACCTATGCCGCCCTCCCCCACCTACCCCTCATCCTTCACATTCCACTTGCCCCCACCCTTGCTGCTCTCCCACCTACCCACCAGCCTTGGCACTCCACTCACCCACCACTCTTGCTTATCTCCCTATCTACTCCCACACCCTTGGCATTCACTCAATCCAAACCCTTGCTCTCTTTCCACCTACCTCCCACCCTTGGCACTCAAGTACTCACAGGGGGGAATCCCATCTCTCCCCCCCCCCCAGTCTCTGAGCCAGTTTGGTGTAGTGGTTAAGTGTGTGGACTTTAATCTGGGAGAACCGGGTTTGATTCCCCACTCCTCCACTTGCACCTGCTGATGTGACCTTGGGTCAGTCACAAGCTCTGGCACAGCTGTTCCTGAAAGAGCAGTTTGTGTCAGAGTTCTCTCAGCCCCACCCACCTCACAGGGTGTCTGTTGTGGGGAGGGGAAGGGAAAGGAGTTTGTAAGCCGCTCTGAGACTCCAAGTGAAGGGCGGGGTATAAATCCAATCTCTTCTTCTTCTTCTTCTTCTTCTTCATCCAGGTCCTAGTATTCACCTTGGGGCCTCACCATGGCAGTGTCTGGGAGCCAGTTCAAGCGCCAGATGGCTCCCAGTATGGGCTGTGGTGGACGGACCCCAAGCGGCTCCTTGCATCCATTGCCATGGCGGCCAGGCCCTGAGCAGATCCCAGTGTCCCCTGCCACCAAGGTTGGCCCCCAAGTGGCTCCTAATGTGCACTGTGGCAGCAGCTGAGCCGTGTGCAGCTCCCTGCTTCTGCCCCGGTGGTGGCCGGGCCCTGAGCGATTCCCAGAGTCCACTGAATGGGACTGCCAAGGCTTCCTTATTCTTTGAGCAGGCTTGTCAAGGCTTCCTCCTCCCCACCCCACCCCACTCTTGGCAGCTTGCTTGGAGCTGCTCCAAGCGGGCTCGCTGAGGTTTCTTTCCCCTTTACTCTTGTCTGCTCACCTAGAGCTGTTCTGAGTGGACCTGTGGAGGCTTCCATTACCCATCACCAGCAAATCTGGCACTCTGTTGCCGCAGCAACCACTAGGCTCCTTTCCAGCCGCACTACAGTAAGTGCATTGCCTGCGTATGCACAGATTTTTTTATTTTCAGGGCAATTTAAACCCCCATGTTTGTTTGTTTTTTACCTTTCAGAATTTTCTGCAAACGTAGGGGGTCCCCCAAGTTTGCAGAAAAGCCTGTTTAAGGTGAGCGTACCCTCTGTCTGCAGATTTAGGTCCTTTACGCATTTGCCTACCACTCCAAATTTTCTCAGTGTTCAAGTCGAGGCAGTTTAAGTCCATGGCAAAACAGCATCCAAATAACCCGGGGCAACAGCAGGCTAAAACTGGGCTGACCACTGAAGGGAGGCAATGTAATGCAGAATGGGGGGGAAACCTGGAATAAATTTGAGTTTAGTGCAGAATGGAGAAAAAAAGTGGTTTAAAAAGGTTGAGTTCAATTTTAGTGCAGAATTGCGTAGAGGACACCACGGTGAACATGGATTAAAAGGAGAGTGCAGAAAGGGCCTTAGATATCTGCACAAAGGGAACACAGTTGGGAATTAGATATATAGATCTATAAGGTATATGAAAAGGAATTGCACATAAAATATAAATAATCGTAGGTATAATAATATTCATTTGAGTGCATTTACTTTGCTTCATAAAGACAAGTTTAAGGTTGTCCATCTGTCTTAAATTCAATATATCAGCAATTATCATGTTAAAATTTAGCATAATCATATGCATAATATCTCTGGGAATCAATATTCCAAGGTTAGTACTCACATCTGGGCAACACCAAAATGTCCATGAACAAAAAACTCTGACTAATTCCTAGCCACAAAGGCATAGAGAGGTCTTGAACTAATGGTAAATAAAGTAAGGGTTGCTGCACTGTACTTTCTGCTGCAGGGCTGACTGTTTTAAATGTTGAGCACATGACCTAAAATTACTAGTTGCTTCTTTCTTTGCCTTCTCCCTCCTGGCAGCCATTCCATGCCACACACTATTCTGCTGTAATTTGTTTCTGAAGTGCTGAATCAGCAACTGTTACAGAAATATACAGATGAGGAAATGGGAGCTCTGTATAGATGCTCATGTTGTATTTGGATATTATGCTCTTGAAAGCTCAGTAATTATAAATATACAATTATAATAATTATAATATTACAAAATGAAAATGCCAGGTGGGAGAATGTGATCACAGTCACATGATCACTGAAAAGCTATATATTTTTTAAAGTTCTTTGAAAGAATATGCTGTCACAGTATATAGAAATGGCTACTTGTAAATTTTGTTCAGGGTAGAGAGCCACAGTCCTGCGTTTGCAAGACCTGACCAAGGCTGTTAATGATAGTGTGTTTTGGAGGTCATTAATTCATAGGGTCATCTTAGGTCAGAAGTGAAATGAAAGCACTTAATACACACAAACAGGTAGATAATGATTATGTGGGCATTGGATCCTGTATTCCTCAAAGTGTAACTTGTATAAGAAGGCATAAGGTCTTGATTGGGGGGGGGGGGGGTTGGAAAAAGCCCAGAGGTTTTTTTTTTTGACTATAAAAACCAA